ACTGCAACTGCGGCACCTACGATATCATTCAACGCACGCCACTACTGTACGGCACCTGCTGTCTCTACAACTCCCACCACTACGGCATACATACATGCTGCCACCACAGGACATCTCGCTGCCACCACAATACCCACCACCAACACAAAACCCGCCGACATTATGCAGCCATGAACTTCGAACACTTAGAAACTTGAAAACTCAGAAAATGCATACTAAGTAATAATTAGTTCTACAGGTTTTGCGTGACTGTTCCGCCAGGGGTCAACTATTACTTCGATGTACTGTACGGTAGTGTTAATAGTTAATTGTCTGGATTAGTATCCTATTTACTGTATTGATACTACTGTAGTACAGTAGTATCATATGATTTGTGTTTTTTGACAAATGGACGTTAACGTTAACTACAGTTAGAATTGTCCAATGGGTAGTTTACAGATGGAGGGCATCATGCGGCTGTAACTAATTCCTGACGAAGGCCAATCACAACTAGTGCATGGGTAGACGAGTGCTTTATTCCACATGCTGACTTCAATATCTCATCGAGATAGATTTCTAGATCACCTTGATCAATGATATTCATACATTTCCCAAATTAACACAGTTCCACTGTTGTTTTTCTCAGAAAGCACTGCAATATGAGTGCTTATATGGAATTTGGTATGCATGATATTCCACAATCACAACTAGTGCATGGGTTTCCTATGAGTACTCTATTTCCACATGCCGACTTCAATATCTCATCGAGATAGATTCGTGGATGCGCCTTGGTCAATGATACTAGTATTCGTTATAGGAATCTCGTTATGGGAATCCGGTTGATTGCGTTGAACGACTTGCAACGTCTGGTCTTCGCTTGAATGATCGACATTTTACACGACATGCAACGCCTGGTCTTCGCTTAAATAGTTGACATTTTTGGCCAACTTCATTTTCCTTTTCGCTCTGCGATGGTCAAAGTCCTCATCTCCCTCAGCGTGTTGGCCGGTGCCGCTACGGCTGGCTCCGTCACGAAACTCCCCGAGTCTGTGACCAAGCTCATCGACTACTCCATCAATCCCTGCGACGACTTTTACCAATATGCGTGTGGCGCGTGGCACAATAATGCTGTAATCCCCCCGGACGAACATCAAGTCGATACGTCGTACTCCAAGATCTACATCGAAAACGAAGCCGTGTTGAAGACGATTTTGTCTGACTACAAGCCCAAGATTAGTGAGTTTTACAACTCCTGTTTGGACACGGCTACGCTATCGTCGCTCGGCCTGACTCCCCTGGAGGACTCGTTCAAAGCCATTCGGTCGGCCAACACCACGTTGGACCTCCTCATCGTGGCTGGTGAATTGTCCAAGAACGGCATCCCTGCCTTCGTGGACATCAGCTCCAGCTTTGACGACAACGATGCGACCAAGAACGCCCTCTTCGGTTACCGAGCCCCCCTGCCGCTGGATCGCGAGTACTACACCACCCCTTCCCAGTGGAAGGCCGTCGAAGCCGAGTACAAGGTGTACATTGCGACGGCGTTACAGCTAGCTGGCTACACTGCTGAGCAAGCGGAGGCTGCCGTGCAGGTGATCATCCGTTTCGAGCAAACTCTGGCCGGTGTCGATCTCAACGAGCTCGAGGAGGCGGAGGCCGTTGTGTCTCCGTATACTGCGTTGACGTACTACCAACTGGACCAAAAGTACCCGCTGCTTGTAGGCTCGTGGCTTAAGGCCAATGGCTTCAACGTCCGCGACCAGTGCGGTGGGTCGAACGACTGGGTGGGGTTTTACTCCTTGAACTACTTTGACACAACCGAAAAGTTGTTGAAGAAAACCACGCTGGACAACCTCCGCACCATCGTGGAGTACAAGCTCATCCATGCCTCGTCGAACCACTTGACCCCTGAATTCCGCACGGCGAACTGGAACTTCTTCGGCAAGAAGATCGAAGGCAAAAGGGAGGAACCTTCTCGTGAAAAGTTCTGCCTGACTCAGACGAGCTCCAAATCCACCCTGGGGGATCTCTTGGGCCAGTACTTCTTAGACGTGGTATGGTCGGCTGATACAGCCAAGAAGGCCGACGACCTGGTCAAGGCCTTGAGGTCGTCCTTCTCCACTGGCATTGCCACCGCCGACTGGTTGGACAACTCGACCCGTGCCAACGCGCAAACCAAGCTGTCCAAGTTTATTCACTTGTTGGGTGGCCCGGAGAAGCCGCAGCTGTACCCCACGCTGACGTTGGACTCGAAGTCGTATTTGAACAACCGGTGGAAGGTGTCTCAAGTGAACATCGAAACCAACTTGAAACTGAACGGCCAACCAGTGGACAGGCGCAGGTTCAACATGGCCCCCCATGAGGTGAACGCGTACTTCAACAGATACGTGAACCAAATTGTGTTCCCGGCTGGCGTTTTGCAAAAACCATTCTTTGACGGCCATTTTGACGCTGCCCAGAACTTTGGTGCCATCGGGATGGTCATTGGACACGAAATTACCCACGGGTTCGACCACTTGGGCCGCAATTACGATAGCGACGGCAACTTGAACCCGTGGTGGTCGAACGCCACCAGCATTGCGTTCAAGACGAAAGCCCAGTGCATTATCGAACAATACTCCAACTTAGTCGTCAAGAGCGAAGTTACTGGCGCTGTATTGGGCAACGTCAGCGGAAAGTTCTCTTTGGGCGAAACCATTGCAGACAACGGGGGGCTCAAGACCAGTTTCCGCGCGTACCATGAGTACTTGAAGGAGTTCCCGTCACAGTACACGGAAGAAGCAGGCGACAAGTTGTTCTACTTGTCGTACGCCCAATCCGCGTGCTCCAAGAACACAGATGCCTTCCTCCTCAGAACTTTGAAGCACACGCACCCGCGCGGTCGGTACCGTGTGACAGGGGCGTTGCAAAACAACGCTGAGTTTGCCCGTGTGTTTCAGTGCCCCACCGATTCATACTTGAACCCGTCCAAGAAGTGCCTGTTGTGGGAATAGGGTTGATCGATACGGAAATAAATACTTCAAAGTATATGTATAGAGTGACTGCTGCGACAAATATATCGGACAACCACCAAATCGGTTAAATGTAGAAGCCTCTTAGCTTTTATTGTCGGATGGATGTCTCTTCCATTTCAATACAACGACGTAGTAAATAAAGTATCTTGGTTTTTTCGAATGTATCGATGTACGGAATCCTGGTTGCTGCCTGGGGGCTACAGTACTGTCTGTACACGTACTAGTGGTGCACTGTAAAACGTGGAGGAATTGCCTTGGTTACTTCTTAGCTTTGCGCAACACAAGCCATGCATCAGGCATACTTACTTCGGCCCTTGCTCGCCAACGACACCAAATTACAGTAAAACACCCCGTGGGCATCGCAGCGTAACCATTCACTGTAAACAATCATACCGCGGGAGTACTTGTGCACTGCTAGATTTTATATCGATAGCGGACTGGTGGACGAGTTTGCCACCATAGATAGGTTTGTGAGCTGGCAATTACTTCCCATCGTCTCAATCAGCGCTACGATGAGCTTCAGTTCGTATTTGGCGAGTGACCTTAGTAGTTGTAGTATTGAAAATATGATTATTCCGTGTTGTGGTGCAAGGGGGGGCACACAGTGAAGGGGGGTCACACAGTGTCCGACGGGGCCGGCTGACTGCCACCGGCCAGAACTGTACTGCATGTACTGGTTCGACTTGCCGTTTGATTTATGCTGATCGACACCGTTTCGTGCGCAATGTCGGCTCGGCAGCATTTCAACGAATAGAAAACATGTTAAATATTAGTGATATCTTGCTCCTGCAACAGCCGCCTTGTCCAATCGGATTGTCGGAAAAAATGGTGACCAATCCGAGTTCGATAGATTGCTAAACCAGATACAGCCTTCTATTGGAAAAGTGTTCCAAGGCCAGCATTTGGGCAGGGAATTTCACTGGTATAAGTACTGCCGTAGAAGTTGCGAATAAAATTCTAAAGCGTGATTGAACTGAATCTATGGTGCACATCATCTAAAAACTTCCAACTGGCCAAATTGAAGTGTTTTACTATTTAACATACAATTAATGTAGTTAAACCCAAAATCAAAATACGTTAAATACCGATATCATACGTTTTATCACTGCAGTGGGAGGTTAAAGCCCGACTGCCTCCGGATATTATATACGGATAAGAGTCACATACAAAAATCAAGATACATCGCAGCGACCACCCCAAGTACAATACCGCCAGGTCAAATATCTATTTCTGGACCAATTCATCACCAAGTTTGAATCTGAGACGTAGAATTTCTTCACCACATTGAGATCTGTCGATTCTACGTCTCAATTTGCTGAAATTTTGAGTAATGAATATGAAATAGAAGTCAGAAAATTTTGTGCAAAGTTGGTAGTTTATAGATGACGTACACCATACATCGGAGAATTTCGAAACCATAGGCAAATTTCCGAAGTACCCTTGATCCTGATCAAATCGGGTATTTGCCTCGAGCTTCCAGTTCTTCAAATAAAAATAAGGCTACATAAGGAATAAAAAATGAGTTAAAAATCACCCATCAAATACCCAACTTTCAACTTTTAGCTATTTTTATATTCATCTTTAACCCTTTTAGCGGACCGTTTAACGGTATAAATAAACTAGTTTAAATCTTGTTTCATAACCGTTTACTACCTTCATACCCACAACCCAACAGCAGCCCAAGAAAAACAAAATCATGAATTAATTTTGTTAGGGAGATGCATATTGAGTCAAAAAGGATTGGGCACCATGGCAACTACGACTCAATGCAAGGCGTTGAGTATGACAAGTCGTGAGTTGCGCTGGATCTCCGCACGTTTTACTGTCATTGCACTCCATAGACTCGTAGCAAGCTAGCACAAAGCGATACCAAAGCCTATCAGCTTAGCGCTAAGGCATTGACAAAATATGGTAGTTCGTCAAAGCAAACGTAAGCGGTTGAATTTTGTCATAGAACCTGGGGCTCCACGTAAATGTTGTATAGGACACCTTCTACAGGCTGCAGATTCAACTGAAGAAATTCTCAACAATCACTCGGTCTGATGATACCCGGCGGTTTCGCACTACGTCTTCAGTGTCGAGAATTCTACGAGACGGGTTTTGCTTCAGGTTAATGGCCTGGATGTCAACCATGGCTACGTAGTTCCCCTCGACGACAAGAGCAGCCCACATCGATGGATGTGAATGAACTTGCTCGCCATGGTCAATGGTGTTGAGCTCTTGATTGGTCTTTTTGGGCGCTTGGAAGTGCTGCTCCATACATGATCGCATGATCATCAAGTCGGTCATGGCTCTACGGTTAGCATCACTTACGTTCACCGGCAACCCTTGAGGAGACATCGTTGCTTCGATCTTTAGACGGTTCATCTTATGCTTCGCGCTGAAGGATGGAATCGCTTCACCTTGTCGACCAGCCCGAAGCTTGGAACGTTGGAAATTGACATCAGTGGCGTAGTGAGCGTATGGGTAGTTGGCAAAAGCAACCGCTGTTCGTGCGCAAATGGGATATAACTAGGCAACTTCATAAATTCGGCCACAAAAACAGGGACCACGGCATTAATAATACGCAGAACCAGCTTCAGGAACGTCGGTGCGCGGAAGACAAAGTCCATGGCGTGCTTCTCCCAGGAGTTGTAGTGCTTGAGTACGTCCAACGTCATGAACAGCCCGTCACTCGACTTGGAGCCATGGCCATCGTGCCACCAAAATTGGATGAGATGAGAGATGCTGCGTTTGATGTTTGACTTTCCACGGCCAAATCTACTTGGCGGCAGCCAATCAGAAGGATTTAGTGTTTGTGACGTCTTACATTATAATGATTTACGTGGCTTTCACTTCATCCACTCATTTCATTCACATGGCCCTGTTTGACGAATTTAAACAGTTTTTTTGGAAGCATGGCTGTGGCTGGCAAGTTATACGGAGTATTTGATGTTTTGATAAGTTCTACTTCCTCTGTTTGATATTAGTGCCGACATTTGACTTCTCGGCCACCCCAAAAATTGTCCAAATTCGATGAATCATATCACGTTCGACAGAGAATGAAAATCTAAAGGAAAGCTGTATTGACTGCAAAGCGGGACGAGCAAGTTTTGGTGCTCAAATTTGACTTCGCCATCCGTCATCCGAATAAAAATTCAAAATCGCGCGTTTCACAATTAAAATTTCGGGGACCTGAGCACGCCGACATCATGGTCCGACAGCCCACCGGCCGAGAGCTTTCCTACGCCAAGAAGATGGAGGTAATCCGTTGGCTCTATGAGCGGTCGACCATGGGAAAGCTTGCGCATGGAGCAATCAACTCAACCGCCTCTGAAATGAGCATTCACCGAACCATTGTGGCGCGCGTCTGGAAGGACTTCCATCGTGACGCCTTGATGCCCTCGCGCAAGGCAGGCCGTGTCGGCCGCACACCCATCTACACGCCTGGCGTCGTTGTAGCTATGGTCCGCCAGTTGCCACAGTCACTGCGCACCACCATGCGAGATATCTCCGATGCCACGGGCATTCCTCTGTCGACACTCCACCGGCACCTCAAGGTAGGAACACTTCGCCGCCGTTCGACACGGATCAAGCCGCTTCTCAGCGACGACCACAGGGCGCAGCGCCTAGCATTTCGACAACATGTGGGATGTCCTACACCTAGACGAGAAATGGTTCAATGCTGACACCAACGTGCGCAAGGTGTATCTGACGGAGGATGAAGAGCCGGAGCAACGTCCCTGGTCAAGCAAGAAGTACATCCCGAAGGTCATGTTCCTTGGCGCCGTCGCACGTCCTTGATATGACGCCGAGCGTGGGACCTACTTCGACGGAAAGATTGGTATGTGATCAATTGTTTAGTATCTTCCAGCCCAACGAAACTCCCGCAATCGGCCGGCGGGGACTATCGTCCCAACGTTGGTCAACGTCGACGCTTCGGTGTACCGTAACTATGTCCTCATACGATTCGTTCCCGCGATCAAGGCTCAATTTCCTACCTCGAACAAGCGCGTTGTACTCCAGCACGACAATGCAACTCCCCACGGCGGCGCACCTTGGGTATATCCCCTTGTCCATATTTTTAATAAATTGCAAAAAAGACAAACGAGTACCACTGTATATTACTGTATTACAACTCTGCATGACCGTACTTCTTCTTAATTCCTACGACTAACCCTTTGAAGTAGGTTGTGCCCGAGGCATCCGGTGGAAAGTACCAGCTGCGCCACAGACATTCGTCCAAGAACGAAGGTAACAGATCTGACACCATACCTCGCATGGTCTTGATATGTTGCTTGATTTGATTTTCCCATAGGCCTTCGCTTTATATGCGTTGGGTGTGGGCACCACTGGTGGGGTCAACAAAGTTGTCAGTGTGGTTCACCCACTGGTGCCCATACCTCATGTCTTGAAGGTCTCTGTTGTTGGCAAGAGTATGGACTTCGTTCGTTGACACGTACGACCCGAACTTGTCCGACATAATCAGAGTTCCGAGTCGTACGTGTTTCTTGATCAACGCTAAGAGCGTTGGTTTCGTACGGTCCTCACCGACCAATATGCCGAACCACCGCTTGGTTGCCCGATCGACACCCCCATAGAGCCAACGGTCTGAGTGAACTTCACCACGGCCTTCTTCAAGGACGTCTCGTCGATTTCGATGACATGTCCTTCACCACCAATCTAGGGCAGCAAATAAACAATTTAGATGAATAAATTATTTTAAATAAACAATTTAGATGAATAAATTATTTTAAGCAGTTTAGATGAATATATATTTGACAGCAATTAAGATGAACAAAAATTGGTTAGCAATTTGACGAATAATTAATTGTACTAGTAGAATTTTACCTTCATTTCGCTTGCAAGCATTTCAGCCGAGCAAATATCTCGGCAATAGTTGTACCAATTGCACGCGGTGTCCGTCGACACTCCTTCCTCATCCATGACAGTCTTGGCTGGCTTGTGCGAAGCACACGCGTATAACAGACGCAAGAGCGTCGTTAGTGGTAACTTCGACTTCGCAAAGATCGAGCCAGCGCGGATACTCTTTTCGACCGGGCGGTCGGCGTGGGGCTTCTTCTGGCATCGCCAGCGCCAACCGTGCTTTGTCTTCGACAGCATCATATACTTTGCGCAGGTAGGGCACGCCATTGAACCCTCCAGGAGGCCAACTCGACGACACCACAGCGCACAAGCATCTTCCGAAGCGGTGACCTCCAGGAGGGTTCGGTACGTGAACCCGTCCAGTGCCGACAAGTCGTACATCGCGGGTCAGTGCTATAACTGGTCAAATTTCAGGGGTTGTACCTATTTCCCATTCATTTGACTGGGGAATTTTTGCTGTTTCCGCCGAGATGAAGCCAATACCAGGGGTTGTAGATTTTTCGTCATTGCTAACTATTTGTGACGTGCAGATGTGGAGTGCCTGAACATACAGTGGAACTCATAAATTAATAGTGGTACCCTGTTGTATTTTAATTCCCGTTTGGGCAAAAATATGGACAAGGGGATATACCCAAGGTGCGTCCCCACGGCGGCATCACCAACGAAGACCTTGTGAGCGTGTCGACGGACGGTTGGACCTTTGTTGTTCGCAGCCAGCCGCCAAACAGTCCAGACCTGAACGTTTTGGATCTTTGATTCTTCTCGTGACTCCAAACCCTTCAGCACAAGTTGGTGAGTCGTTCGTTGAATGATTTGATTCATGCTACACTTGCTGCATTTGAGCTCAGCGGTGGCGAGGCACTCGAAAAAGTGTTTCTTACCTTGCAAGCCGTGATGCGACTTGTCCTGGAGAACAATGGCGGCAACTTCTTCCACTTGCCGCAATTGCGTAAGGATGCGTGTGGTCGTGCCAGTGCATTGGTGTCCAACGTTTCCTGTCCTGTTTCACTCTTTGCCTGAGAGACAACTCCGGTTTTTAACCAATAACATGCTTATGTCTTCTTGTCGACCAATCGGGTTGAAATGTCGCAAGTAACTTGGAAAAAGTCAGATATGCAAATGTCGGCAGTATATCCGAACAGAGGAAGTATGGATATACTCTGTATCGATAATCAAATCATGAGAGTAACTAATTATTTCATTGTTATCTGATTTTGGGGCCTAATCATTTGTCGGTCATCCAATCACGAGGCCAAATTTTGTCGGTTTTGTGTCGTGTCTGTCTTATCCAACCTACTCTTTTCATTAAAGTAGCTTTTTAAACTCGCGTTTGTAAGGGTCAAAAAGTGTCTTTTAACCATGGCGAAATTTCAATATGACGTCGTTTTTAAATTGAAATCTGATTAGCTTGATGCGAACTTTTCAACTTTTGGCTCGGATTTCCAGCTTACACTTTTCAAATGCCCTTCCATACTTTTGATCAGAAAAGGCAAAATTTAATTACGAGTTTTCAGAAATGACGACCAATGAGTCAAGGTTAGCATGTATGATGAAAATGGATTCGTAGACAACGGCGACGAGGTCGTAGAAGTGACACAGTCGTGGTGTCATTTTCCATACAAACGTCAAGTCATGTGGTCGTGTAGGAGGAACGGCACTTCCACATAAATGATATACTTAAACCAAGTAGAAATGTCCACTTACCTGCCATGTGTTTGCTTCGAAGCGCTGCTTTCACACACAGTACGGTATGAGTACTGTATTCATACAAGTATCCAGATATATTTCGTCCAGAGCAGTCCGAAAACTCAGTTTTCAACATGAAAACACTATAGCTAAGACGCTACTATACTATTCGGTCAATTATTGTTGTTGTGACATGTAATCGAAGGAATACGAAGTTCACTATCATCGTGATATCTCTCTCACCAATTGCAATTCACAAACCAGCAATACAGTATTACGTCCCATGTAGTCAGATAACACTACTTTCAATACGCAAACACAAATGCAAAGACACAACTACTCCTTTGGTTATATATTGGTGTATAATTTGACTGACGCGGCACCACAATTCTGGCATGGCGTCATTCGAGCATTGTGTTGGAGGATGCAAGGTACGTTCATGCATGTTCTGCTCGGTGTTAGGATAAAATAGCAATGTAAGTGCGTCCAAAGTGACGGAAGTACGAAACGCACTGCAGCACACACGGAGAGGCTGTCACACCGTGCCTTCCGAAAAGAATCCCGCATTCTGAAAAGGCGTAAGCAGCGAGGTCGCTTCATTCCGCAACCTGTCCTGGAGGCCACGAACATGGATCACAGTTCGGTGGGGATGACACCGCCACCGACGGCCCGGCCGAGGGGGCCCGCAGCCACTTCCGGAGTGCAGAATGACGCAGCCACTTCTGGAGTGCAGGATGACGATGCCACTACAGTCTCCTCCACCGGAGACCTCGTGACGCTCTCTGAGCAGGCGGCCACTCCAGGGTCGGGTGCCCACGCCTCGCCATATTCCTTCTTGCGCATGCACACCGTGCTCTCCCATGGCATCGTAGACTTGCGCAACAGTATTCATCGAAACGAACGATTGTTACGCGTCCTCCAAGAAGTCCGGGCAGCGATGGCGTCGACCTTGTCCCTACGACATGTCGCAAGCTCGTCACGCCCTGGTCGACGAAATGGAAATCTTAACAGCGACATTTACTGAGGTGAACATCGAAGTCCTGGACCTCTGGACTGCCCTGGATTCGAGTCGACGGGCCTTGGATACGGCACACGCTGAACGGGATGGGACCAACGTCTTGCTACAAGAGGCTCAAGAGTTGCTCCGAACCTTAGAGCAAGGGCAACACGACCTCGGGGAGCAGCGTGAACAAGCCCAGGCCAGGCTGAACGACCAGCAAGCAAAACTCCGCGACCTGGCGAGCCGGTTGACGGTCCAAACGGAAAAGGCCACCGAGCTGGGGAGACAAGTACAAGAGGCGGACCAGGCCTTGGAAATCATGACCGCCGAGGTGAACGACCCTCGGGACTACACGGCGCATTCAGCCAGGTTAGTCGCCGGGAAGGAAGGGGATGTCAAGCTGGCGCTTCAAAACAAGTTGTTGGTGGTTGCCGAGATGTCGGACCTTCGCCGCAGCCTCGAGGCCGAGAGGGAAAACTCCGAAAAGGCGCGTCAGGATCGGGACCAGGCGCTTACCACGGCGAGAGAATTTCAGGAACAACTCAGAGTCGCCCAAGACCGCATCGCGCAACTCGAAGCGCAACCTCTCCGTTTTTCCGCTAGCAACCCGGCTTGGGACATTCTTCTGGCCGAGAACCAAGACCTCCGGGAGGCGGCCACGACCTCCGGGTGGCGGCCAAGACTCAGAAGGCGAGGGCCAAGGACTCCCGCGTTAGAAACAAGATCCTCCGGAGCCAAACCGAGACCTTCCAGGCCGACGCATTGCAAGAGTTGGGGGCCCTGGAGTCCCGAGTACAGGCGAGAACCAGGACCAGCGTCACTGCGAAGATTTGGTCCAGTTGGAGAAGTTACTTCGTGAGAAACAGGCCAGCCACGATCTCGAGGAGAAGCTTCAGGCGTTCCAAGAGAGCGAGCGGACATCGGCCAGAGCCTTGTTGAATGCCAACGAGCACTTCAAGACGCCGTCCCGTCGTTTTGGGACTGGGTCGCACAAAATTTGCAGGTGTCCGGTGCCGCCGGCGTGGCGCCGCTGATAGAGGCGTGGACCTTGAGTGATCCGGATCGCTTCAAGTCCTGCAACGAGAGCGTAGGCATCTTTCCCACCAAGGCCGCGCGCGGATTGACGGGGCCCCTGTTTGGGCGAGTCCGGGGCCCAATGTTCAGTGCTTGGGTGAACACGGCCCTCCCGGTCATGAAGGATGCGCTGAAGGAGGCTTCCACGCCGTCGTCGGGAGTCCTGGGGGCGGTCGTTGTCGAGGCCCCTCCGAGCTCGGGGGCTAAGGGTTCGACCCTCCCAGGACAGGCGGGAGCCAAGGCGCCCGTACTTCCATCCCCCTTGCGTTCCGCGAAATGCTTGGCCTCAGGAGGACGTCCCGGGAAACGAAACGTCTCTCGTGTCCACGCTGCTCTTCCCTTACCATCCGCGGACCCGAATCTACCCCGAGACGTTGATGCGACCTATATGGCCATGGCGACATCGAAGCCGTGGGAACAGTACAAAGCGCAAGAGTCGTTTATACACTCGTCGTGGCGTCGATTTCCGCTGTGGGCGGAGCTCCAGGAACAACTGAGGACTTCTGGGAAAATCATGCCCTCGCGCACTGGAACCGTCGTTTCATGCGGGGGTCGGCCGAAGTAAATGCCAAAGTTGAGGCGGCCATGGGTCCATTGGTGGGCATTATCGGATGCATGTACAGCATCGTTCGGCGCCAAGGGACCGACTTGTTGCGCTTCTTTTGTTACCCCCATTCGTTTTGGCCGGACTTCCTTCGCGGCGGGTTCTCTTTGAAGATGATGGCCTCGGTCCAGGGTGCTCGAGCCGTGCAGGAATACCTGTCGTCTCAAGGCTCGGAATTTTGGCCGGAGGTCCCGTCCACTTCTCGCACCGAGCCGTTCGATCCCCCTTTCATGGCCACTCTAGCCTTCCTCAAGGGTCGCTCGCTCAAGAAGTTTTGGTTGAAGAAGTTTGACCCCTTGAATCCGGCGAGAGTGTCGAAAGTGTTGGCGTGGTTGTATGCCCAGGCCGAAGAGTACTGACTCGCCGGTGCTTATCAAGGGCGTTTCCCGTTCGTGGTGGACGACCGTTCACATCCCTCCGAAGGGTCCCAGTGGGCACGTGGTATGCCAATGTCACGGAGGGAAAGGAAGCGACTTTCCAACGGCGTTTCCCGTTAACAGTCGTGTCTCTTGTTACCGGATCATCATCCCACTGTAACTCTGGGACTAATCTGTGTCGAACCCGTTACTCCCGTAACCAGCAATACCATGCTGCTCCACCAGAATGTCACGGGGTTTGGTAACTATTTGACGTAGGTAGGCGCGGCGAGAGCGAGCGAAACTCAAGACACAAACGTGTAGAGCAAGTCAAAAGTAAAAGTCAAGGTTAGCTATCTAAGTGGAGGCGTCTTTCCGATGTTCAAAGATTTACCAGAACACTGCGGGAAGTTCGGGGATCAGGCTATTGCTGGTTCCGGGAGTAACGGGTTCGACACAGATTAGTCCCAGAGTTACAGTGGGATGATGATCCGGTAACAAGAGACACGACTGATACTGGGAAACGCCGTTGGAAAGTCGCTTCCTTTCGCCCCGTGACATTGTAGCTACCGTAGGGACTCGTTCCTCACCAGCCGTGCCTTCTTTGGTTTCCGTAGCTGAGCGATCCAAGTTTCGCGTGACCGCCGCAGCCATTGGACCAGTACGAGTCCGTCACCCCATGCGTCCATAGATCCGAGCACCTGACCGCTCCCATCCGCATGGCCAGCGACAATTGATGAGATCTTTAGCCGAGACAGCCCGTCGACGCAACCCATATTTACGCCAGGTCGGTGCGTCACCGTGAATTGAAAGCTCTGGAGGTGACAGACCCAGCGCGCCAGTTTCGCGTTCGTGGAGTGTGACCCGGACTTGAACAGCCATGCAAGCGCCGCGTGGTCCGTGAAATTGCGCCTGTCGAGGTAGGTGCGGAACTTGCTTGTCGCCCACACAATACCAAAGCACTCGTTTTCTGACGAGCCTTTCGTTTTGTTGATCCGCCGTTGCTGGGTCTGGTTTAGTGCTTGGCTGGCATAGGCTATCACATATTCTCGCCACTTCTGCATCAAGACGGCACACACGGCGATTGGGCACGCGTCCACATACACGATGAACGGAGGTTCGAAATATGGAAAGGCAGATTGGCGGACTGGCCAATGCGCGCTTCAACTTGTCCAGCGTCACATCACAGTCGCTGTCCCACTGAAACAGTTCGGCTGTCTTGAGTCGCTCCAACGGTCGCGAGATCGCCGCGTACCCCTTGATGAACAGGTCTGGAGCGATGCACTCCGGTAGTGCGGCTAGGAGGGCCGAAGCAAAGTGGCTATCGCTGAGGGGACTCCCTTCCAGCTTCTCCACTGCCGTTAGCATCTTGTCGAAGGCTTGGAGGTTGACTTGCAACTACACATGAGGCTTGAACTTGACTGTTGGTAAACGGAGATGGCCGTTGCATGTTTTTGTTTGTCGCTGGAGAACATCCGCCGAAGCGACGAAATAATTAAATGCGCACATTCGTCGCGAATTCCGGGAGCGGCATTACGCTGGACCGTGGGTGACAAGGAGGCGTAGACCAGCGCGCATGAGCGCGCGATGGCCGTCTTCTCGAACTTGATTAACTCATCCACGTGGTTGCAGATAGACTTCGCGATCACCTCGTCCGTCGAGCAGTTCTCCGCGAGCCACTCGGTGAGCTTCACACCCAGTGGTGGGTGGGCGTGAGTGGTGGAAGCGGCGGTGCGCCGGCAGGCAGTGCTGCCGCTTCGGCTTGGTGCAGCCGGATGAGCTTACAATCATTGAGTAGCACCTTGTAGGCTCGACGGAGTCCCTTCATGTACGTGGCCGTCTCGACTTGCGCGCAGTGAGTCGCCAGCTCACCGGCAAGGATGACGGAAGTGAGTTCAAAGAACCACTCATCGAAGTTCTCGGTGCCAAGGAGGCTCTGCGTGAACGGTAGGGCAGCGCGAGAGGTAGCAGGTGGAAGGCTCATAACCAATGGAGAGGGCATAGGCAGGATCGGACACGTGGGAGGCAGAATAAAATACTGGAAGTGAATTTCTTCTGACTGGAAAGAACCAGCCAATCAAAACTAACTATGATTGGCCACGGCATCCAATGATGTTCCGTGACCAAATGTCTACGCTGACTTCTACTCTGAGACGCGCGTACTTCCCCACGTTCCGCAACAGTTTGATCTTCAGTATGGACTTCACTTGTTCGGTATTAGGTAGGATCCTGACAGGAGTGACGATGTGACCCAAGAATGCTACGGACTTCTTGCCCCAGTGATATTTCGACATTTTCAACGTGAATCCGGCGTCCCGTAGGCACGTCAAGACTTGTTAGAGCCGAACTAGGTGGGTTCCAAAGTCCTCGTCTGAACACGATCACGTCATCCAGATATACCAGGCACATCCACCACCGGTACTCCTTGAGGACTTCCTCGATAAGCCGTTCGAATTGTAGTACTACATTGCAAAGACCAAAGGGCATCACCAGCCACTTATACAGTCCGTACTTGCACCTCTTTTTCTGTGAACGCCATTTTCGCGATACTGTCTTCAGCCTTTCGTACATTCCAATACCCCGACGCCATGTCCATCGTCGAGAAGTTCTTTGCTTTGCCCAACACGTCGAGCAGGTATAGATCCGTGGCATGGGGTAACAGTCATTGATCGTCACGTCATTCAGCTTGCGGTAGTTGATGCAGAACCGGATGGTTCCGTCGGCCTTCCGTATTTTAAGTACCGGGCTGGCCCAAGGACTAGTCGATGGTCTGATCAGCCCCAAGTCCAGGTATTGTTGTATATCTGCTTCCATCATTTCACCTTCCTTCTGGGATACTCGATACATAGCTTGCTTGATTGGACTGGCGTTGCCCGTGTTCACATAACATTGACCAGATCCGTACGTCCAGGGGCTTTGGACGCGTCACACAGCAGCACTTTGCACAGTACTTCTCGCTGCTCCAAACTCAGGTCAGGCCCTTCCCAGTTGATCGGTATCTCCTTGAGGCCCTTTGTCGGCGCCGGCATTTTCACAGGACCGGGCATATCACACTTGAGTGTGCTTGCTGTGTCCACACTGTCCGTCCTCCCCCAACAGAATTCGAACTCCGAGGCGCCCGCATTTGCATACCCATGTGGGAGAGTCACTGCCGAGCCGACTAGGGTGCCACAGCCTAACCTGATCGTGTCCTCGCTAGGATTTTGCACTTGTACCCAGATCACGAGCGATCGCGCCATGTGGATTTGGAGACCCGGGAGAGATTCCGACAACACGTGGGTACCGCGAGGTATCGGCGTGAAAAACGAACTCTTGACCATCCGTCGCTGCCGAGGAAGGATCTGTAGTGGGCTCGCCAGGGCCAACGTGGTCAAGTCTGGCAAGAATGGCGACCCACTCGTAGGTATCACCGCCGTTGCTTAACTCTTCTGATGGTCGTCAATCGGTGTGAGCTTGATCACGTACGACGTGTGCGAGATTCGTAGCTCGTTCAACTCTAAATCAATGACCACTGATCCCACATCACCCACCGGATCCGACATCCACGTCGAACCCTCGCCACGCCCTGACAGCACGAGCTGCTCGCGTGTTGGCCGTACGTCATCCCTGCACCAAATGGTCGCACAACCAGCTCCTACACTTTCCTCAACATCCGATCGGTTGGCCGGATTCACACTCACTCGTCACCTGCCGACCCACGGACTCCACACCCAGATCCCGTATCGGCGTCGCCAATAGCTGTCCATAGTTCTCCTCGCCGCGTAGGAGTATTCGTAGGTTCCGTCACAGAAATGGAGGTACGACGATGCTCGGGTCACTTCATTTAGCCTGAACGTCATCCTTCACATACCAACCCCTGTGTGCCGTAGGAGTCTGAGTCCCTTCTCGTGGCGACATACGAAGCTTGGGGCACTCCACACACAGCTGACCAGGCTCTTTACAGTTGTAGCATCGGCAATCCCCCGCTCCCAGTAGGCGTGACCTACGGTGTTGCAACGATAGCACTTCATCTTAGCGTACGGGCACGCCTCGCGCCCATGATCACTTCGTTGACAACGCCACACGGCCCGACTGTGTCGTTGTCTTGTCAGGATTCATGCGGATATTCGGCACCACCGGCTGATTTCCCGACGGACGACACAGAGCGATGTTGGCCACTACATTCATCAACGAGCCAACTGGTTTTGCATCAAGGCTACATCCGCCCGAAGCGCCGCCATAGCTTCTTCAGTGGACTTGCTGGTTGCATCCGTGGAGTTCGAACGGTTCACCCGCGTCGCCGATGACGTAGATCGGGGAACGTCGTGCTCATCCTCGTCATCGCATATCAAGGTCCAAAACGAAGGTAGTCCAGGCACTCCTGAATCGTATGCGGTCGCGTCTCCGACCCACGGATGCACGAGGCCACGCCAGTGTCCTTGCAACCTTCGTTGAAGATCTGCACTGCTTGAGAATGTCGCAACTCGAGATCTTGGGCGGCATTGTTGATACGCCATGCGTATTTCCGGACGGTTTCTTTCGCCTTGAGGGCACTGTTCTGCGTGATTTCGGCCATCTTCACGCTCATGCTCTTCTGTACAAACTCCTTGTAAAATTTGCATCGTGTGCTGCGCCAAGTCCGGTTCGAGCCTTCGCGGTGACGACGGGCCCACTAATCCTACGTTATGGAACTTCTACTCGGCCACGCGGTACTCAAGATGCGGATGAGCTCGATATACGTCAGCTCGAACTCAATCTGGATGTCGTCGAGATGTTCCAAGAAATGGTCCAATTGCAGATTGTCCACACTTTCAAGCTTCAGCGGTTGCTTGCGGGCATTGGCCACCAACGAATGTCGATCTGCCGGTCAATGGGAGAACGGGTCCGCATCAAGCCGTGGATACGGAGCCGGATCACTACCGCTATGACCACCATTTCCTCCTGGTCCACCGCCTCCACTGTATCCACCGAGCCATAGACGCCTTCTCCATACAGGCGCGGATCGTTCCCGTCACCGCCATCGCAATGGCCACTCGTAGCGGTGGGTGCCGTCTCCATCACCAAAGGTCTCGTTCCCACCATGTGCACCGGTATATTGTGGCTCATCGGAAGGAACGGAGCCTGCATCGTCTTCAACGTGTCAAAGATGTCATCCAGTTTGTCAGTCACAGAACCTTTCGAGGGGAGGATACCATGGACCGGTGTTCGTTCCGTTGTGAAGTCAGAGCCCATGACCGTAGAAGGAAGAAACCGAAGAACCACCAGACGGGGCTCGCCGTACTTGCTCCGCCGAGTCACACAAGTAGCCAGGCGTTGAAAGGGATACGCCGTTTCATACCCTACGGCAGAGACGACGTTGGGGTGGTTCGGGGTTGGTGGCGGCACGCGAAGCAGTTCTGACCGTAATGACAGAAGTCGCGATCGTTCCGCCTGCATTGCAATCTTCATCTCACGACGCTCCAAATCCACTTGCGAACGGTCGTTTGACAACTGGGTCAGCCACGATTATCGTCAAACGGGCACGCTCGTCTGCCACCTTGGCTTCAACCCCGTTTGGCCTCATTGAGCCGAGCCTGTTTTTGAGCTAACGCAGCCTGACCACTGACGAGCCCGGCGGGCGTCTCTTCGAGAACTTTTCGTTCCGACTGCAGTTCCTCCCGAGACACAAGGTCCGACGGTTCAGCAATCTTCTTGAGGTCCGACTGCAACTCGCCGTTCATGTCTGTCAACATGTTCAAATTGAAGTTACTCTCATGGGCCTCAAAATCCGGATCTGAAGGTTGCGCGCGTTGAAAACTGCATTAAGTCGTCGTTGTTCTACAACCTGGGAGACAACTCGCGTTGTAAGCTTTAACACTTCTTGCTTCAGTTCCTCGCGTCTGGGGCAGACCTCAAGTCCCGCCGTATGTCTCTCGACATCGGCCCTTTCGAGTAGAGTGATGGCTCAGTCTTTCTGCGCCAGGCAGGCCCTCAACTATCACCATCCAGATGAGCTTGCTCTCGTATCGCCTGCGACACATTCAGGACTTCGTACTTGAAACACAGGAATTCCGTTCGCAATTGTTCTTTTCCGACCCGAACAGCATTTCCCGCTTCTCGGACTCGAATAGGGCTCGAGCCTGAACCAACGCGCTGTCGTATCGCGACTGCTCGTGGGCCTTGTCGTCTTCCACACGGGTGCAGTTCAACCCAAGTTCGGCTTGCAACACAGACACCGTCGCCGCATCCACTTGACGGTGGCGCTCCATACTACTCAGGGCAGCCGACACCACCGTTTCCTCAGGGCTCCGGATGCGACTAACATCATCGCCCAACGCTTTAGTTCAATCCAGCAGATCCGTCCTTTCCACCCGTAGTTTTTCCACCATGCCCGACCGTTCTTGCACGAGGGCCTCCAAATCCTTGTGAGCCACGCGTGTCACAACTGGTTGACCGTCGAGGTTCGTCGTTTGACCCCGGACAGCGTCCTCCACGAGCCCAGAGTTTAGAACCTCTTGACGGTCTCATTCCCCTCCGTCCCCACTCCGCCTCGAGTCGTATCGCTTATCCACGCTGGACCAAAACCGTCTGCTATTGGAACGATGATTCCATGTTGGTGAGTACCAGATGGTACACCTATTGCCGAATTTGTTCTTGGCGCCTTATGATGTCTTCAAACCGTGACGCATACTCAGCCAAATGCGATTCATTGTGCTCCAGCAAGCTCATCCGTTCCGTACACGCCTGAAGCAGAAAATCGTTGAACCTCTTCAATTGAGCCTCCCGTGTTGCATTCATGAATCCTTCAGTCTTCATACGTTCGCTTCGCCCGGTTCCTCCACACGGGGTGCAACTGCCATAGACGCCACCGGTTCAAACTTCTCTCTAAGTCGGGCAGAACCATCCTCGTCGTCGACTGCACCGTCGTCCGATAGCGGTTCGTCGCGGATATCGCGGTTATTTGGCTTCAGGGATTGCGGTCGCGGTGGCGAATAGTCCCTGGTGAACGCGGCCGCTTCTCTTCCTTGTACGTTTTTCTTCTTGATCGTCAGCTCCTCCTCTCCTTTTGTCTCGTCGGGTGACACATCGGGCGATTCGTCTGGGTCTCGTGTTTCTGTCACGAAAAGGCGACGCCATCCCGTCCGCTGCTTCGGCCACTTCGACAAGCGTCGTACGCGCTCGACTGGGTTTCTCGAACAGCCCATACTCCGTCTCAAGGCCTTGAAGGCGTCGCGACGACCGCGGGGGTTGCCCCGGCGAAGACTCCTACGTCGCGATTCACTCTTGCTTGGTTCGACCTATCTTTCGGCAAGCAAAATATCCTGCTTCTCCACCAAAAGATGTCACGTGAAACGTAACAAGTTCAAAGGGTTTTAGCTTGGGAAACGACGCGGTCTCAGTACGGATCTCGATGGTCCCTCGATGGTGTAGTCGAGAGACGTACTGGAACAACGGCAAATACTTGGGATGTTTAGAGCGAAAACTATTGTTAGGTATTACTTCTACGATCGGGAAAAGACGGGTGCTCGATTCAGTCTGCCCCGTATGCGGATGTGCGGACCACTATCCGGCTGATATACGCGTCAACATGGACCTTTTTGTCACAAGTTGCACCGGTGGGGATACCCTAATTCGACCACTGAGGACACCTCCAACGGAGCTGGCACCACCGAGTTTGCATTTCTAGCCGAACAAGTAACACCTCCGGATCCTAGCACCCGATCCAGTGCCTGTCTGGCATCGACGAGCTACGGACGCTCGCGGTAGTCCCAGTGATGCTGGTCCACGCGTATCGGTACTCGATCAATGACGGGTTCACAGGCGTCGACGTGTTCTTCCCCATCTCTGGCTACCTCATCACGTACTCCCGCCGCATCTGCCACATCTTCCCACCGCTGCTGCTCGTGCTCACATTCACGCTGGTCGTAGGCTGCGTGTGGCTGCCCGACAAGTCGGTCCAGTCCATGACCATCACCCTCGGGGCCGGGACGCAACATCCAGCTGCTGACCGTCCAACAGGGCTACTTTGACGCCACTGTCAAGGAGAATCCGCTGCTGTACCTGTGGTCCCTAGGCGTGGAGGAGCAGTTTTACATCTTCAACAAGTATTAAAATGACGACCTTCATTTATTATGACTCATAATAAATGGAGGTCGTCATTTTCAAATTCGTCGATACGTACAGAGTACTAGTATATACTCTCTAACACATGACAGTACATACTTGCTTACACACAAAGAACGATGAATAAGCAATCAATCATCTATGTTCATAGGTGATGCCGGTGCTGTCGCTTTCCATGGTCTAGGTCCTCCCATAGTCGAAGTCATTGAATTTTGACGTGGTCGACGGAGCAATCCGACGTGGTAGTTGTAGCGAGCCCAGTCTAATCGTGATGTATGGCGGGTCCGTGTTCTGCAGCGTGCAGAACAATTGGGTCGCGCGTTAGTTTGACCCATCGCAAACACACACACTCTGTGTGTGTGGCGTGTCAAAGGTTCCGATACCTTAGTGGAGGTACTGAGTAATTTAGAGAATGGTAGTCAGTAGGCGCCTCGTGGCGTGTTTAACCTCACTAATATCAGTGTGTATATTTGCTACCTTGACGAAGGTCCCGTGGCCGAAAGCCAAGAGGAAGCGGGAGACAAAACATGGATACAGAGCATATTTGTAGCGTTGTGCATGCGTAAGGGAAAACTAAGAGATCGATGCCATGGTTGAAGTATGTTGCTTTCCATGTGCAGCGCACACAAAAACTAACATTGTATATGTGAAATCACCCTTGGGTACGCCTAATTCGTTGATGGGTCATGCATGAACTAGAGATAAATTCAACTGCTCGATGAGTTTGGTACGTGCACGACTTCGGGTTTGCAATGTTCGACTTGATATACAGTGCTTTGCGGTAAAATCGGGACAGTGTCACTGTCCCAAAATACAAAAAATCACATTTGGGGCGAAGTAGAATAAACACGCTGGATTGGACAAAATTTGATTCAATTGCGGAGGCCAATCACAGAGTAGCTTGATTGTAATTGGCTAGTTTCAAATATTTGAACTAAACGCGTTTCATCACGTTTGACTTCAAAGACAAAGCCGCACCAACATGTACCAGCAATGGGCAACGGAAGGCCCTCCTGGTCAAGTTCCACGCGTCGATTGTCACCAGTGAGCGCCACTTCTGCCGCGAGAACAACATTAAGCCATCAACTTGGGGAGCGTGGCGGGCGAGAGAGGACAAGATCATGGCGAGCAAGCGACATAGCCGGTTCGCAACCATCGGTGGCCAAGGCCACAAGCAACTCATTCCCTTCGGACCCGCCCTTCTCGAGTTTATGCGTTCACGCCAGGGCGACGAGCACTATGTCCGCGTCTTTCACATGATGACATGGGTCAAGAAGAACCATCATGCGTGGCTGGTGGAGTACCTGTCGACCAAGAAGAACGAAGTGTCGGGTTCCAGTCCTTCCGGTGCTTGCTCCTTCGCTTCGCAGAACGCCATTGCTTTCACCACCGAACGCCATGCGCCATCAAGCTGACGCAAAAAGTTCTCGATGACGTGTGGCTGGGTTATGCCGCGTTGTTCTGGGACAGATATGGCCACTATTGTACGACTACAGCAACATCATCAATGTTGACGAGACCGCCGTGTACTTTGACATGCCCCCTGGCAAGACGCTGGCCGAGGTGGGCACATCAAGCAAGGTATCCACCGGCGAGAAACACTCACCACGGCTGACCGCGGTCCTGACCATCCGAGCAGACGGTACACCTTTGCGCGAGACACTCGTACTCGAATGAGTAGGAACCAGGTTGCCTCTGTTGTTCATAATCAAGGGCCAACCAGGTGGCACTATCGAGAAGCAGGAGCTGGAGTCATACCCGGCTGGCCATCACTACGCAGTCCAGAAGAATGCGTGGATGGACGAGCGCGTTTGGTCTATGTACCTCGATGACGTGTTGGCCCCATGTGTGGAAGACGGGTCTGTTCTGTTTGTGGACAATTTGAAGTGCCATGTGTCGGAAGAGTCGCACGACAAGGTGGCCGAAGCGATGTTCAGCGTGGTGGAGCCGCTGCCGGCCAATTCAACGAGTCGTTGCCAAATACTTGATGTTGGTGTGATGGGACCTCTCAAGGCCATGCTGAAGACCGAATGGCTATTGGAGGAAGACAATCGTAAGGGGAACGAGGACTTTCCTGCCCAAGAAAAGCGACTGGCAATGGTAATACGAACAATTCGGTCTGGGAGAAAAATCTTCTGAAATGGTGGTGAAATCATTTGAAAAAGCGATCCCCAAAATTTTAATAGACTTTTTTGCTTTTTTTGCAGAATTTTCAATTTTTCGGAAAAACTTGGCACTCCCCCGGACTTGAACCCGGGCGAATCCTCCACCGCCTCATCATCTAACCGATTTGCTACGCGCCAAGGCCTTGGCTTGAATCCCTGTGCATCAAACCAATCAGAACCCTTCAATACTTGATGTTGAATATTGGTTGTGCAAGTTCGAAGCAAGTGAAATCACTCGTCAAATCGTTAAGAAATTTAGCCAATCAGGCACTGATCACACAACACAAGACAAAGTTGAAGCAACGATCTTTATTAAAAATTTCCTGCAAGCAAATCCCCTATCCATACAAAATGCAAGTCAACGTATATAGTGGCACTGTCCCGATTTTACCGCAAAGCACTGTATATGGCCTTGTTCGGGCACCAAATACAGTCGCCCTCTGGGATTGTCAAAACTAGAAAATATGTCCGGATAGTACTGTAAAATAGCGTTTACAGTTGCACTGGTGGGGATGCCCTAAGTCGACCGCTGACGAAACCTCACACGAGAAAGACAGGACTTAGTTTGTAGTGCTAGCGAACAAGCAACACCTCCGCAACCCAAGCACCCGATAAAGAACCCTCCCGACATCGACGAGCTACATACGCTCGCGGTGGTCCCGGCGGTGCTGTTCGACGCGTACCCGCACTCGATCAATGGCGGGTTTATACGCGTCGACGTGTTCTTCGTCATCTCTGGCTACCTCATCTCGAGCATCCTCTTCAAGAAAAACGCCAGGGGGTTGTTCACCGTCGCCGACTTTTACTCGCGCCGTATCCGCCGCATCTTTCCCGGCGCTGCTGCTCGTGCTCTCGTTCACGCTGGTCGTGGGCTTCAAGTGACTGCTGGACAAGGCGGTCCAGTCCATGGCCATCACCCTCGTAATCTTGTGAAACCGTGAGGCAATCCAGGACTAAATGGCCCCTCTTATCCGGATCAGTGAGGGAAATGTCAAGCACAATGGACCGCTCGAAGCAGTTATTGGTGACCTCCGCCACGGTCAATTGTTTCGAAATCAGAGATGCATACGGCGACAACAAGAAGTGGTAGGACTGAACACGATACCGTCGAAGCAGAGTGATGAGATCATTCGCGTGGCCAACCAGTTCAAGAGCGCTTGTAAGTGAAGTAGATCGCTTCGCTAGTACACATAAAGGCTACTCTGTTGAGGTTAAACCCGGAGAACTGATCGTTGACAGAGCGGTCATAGTCGACCGAAAAGCATTTTTAAGAGTTTAGAACGGATTTGCCACGAATGACGACAGGTACGTACATGTGGATCGATGTTTGGAATCACGTACATGCACGTACTGTATGGAAGCAAGATGCGACCAATGTGACACTTCATCTTGATGCTCCCACTTCACTCTTTTCTTTCAAGTTGAAGCGGGAGCAGTATTCACGGACATCAAGTTGTGGAAGCGTTGTCGCAGCTATGTAAACCATAGATGGTGTAACCGTGCCAATCATCCGGTTCCCCACAGGATGACTAGTCGAAACCTCTTCAGTCCAAGGTGTCCTTTCGCAGACCAACATGTCCTCTTGCGCAACCAAGGTGTTCTCCCGACGATACATCAATGGTTGGTTGCGCGTAGATTAGTGAAAGTGTAGCAGTCTTAACGCTATCAATTCAATCTTGATTCAAGCATCTCCTACACCTTCCTCTGCACACGCTCACACGTGTAAGGACTACACGTTCGTTCAGTCCACCAACACTATGTCTCCCACCAACACCGCAGCCCACCAAGCGGTTCTCGCTCTTTTGAGTCGCGGTTTTGGCGACAACGATACCGCGCTACTCTTTGTGTGGGATGACTCCCGATAACCAAACACGCCTTGTGGAAGGCATCGGTAGCACGATCGATTTGTCGGTGGCCGAGGCTTCGGCCGATCAGAACAAGTCACTCAAATATCTTTGCACTGGTGAAACCTTGAAGAGGACCTTTTTTTGTCACACACTAAATAACGAAATACACACAGAAACGACCGAAAAAAACACAAATTTTAACGAAAAACACGCACGACCCAACAACACAATACAAATCCCGAGTTCCACACAAACTTCGCCGAGCACAACACATAATTCACCGAATTTCACACAAAAAATGCCTAATCCACACCAAAATTCCTGAACAGTTAGGACGGAAATAGAAAACATCTGACCCATCCATTTCCAGCTTGCGGACAAATTGGGATCGATCCCTTGGGAAAAATATAACGTCAGTGACACAGCAATCATGCTGTCATGATGCTATCATCATGTTGTCATTATGTTATAGTCGCCGCATGTTACTGTGGATTGTCACAATTTTAAAGTAGTACCACTAGTACTACTTTGTGACAAGCGACAGTAGTACTACTAGTACTACTATCGCTTGTCACAAGGTAAAAAAGATTATTCGCCGAATGAGCTGCTGTGCTGTTACTTCACCCTGGGACTTGGGTGGTGAGTACTTCAACTGTTGGACAGTGTGGCATTTCATACACCGGAATAATGGCTTCCCGAAGGTACCCATCCCAGAATGCGAAGTAACGTTGCAGAAAAGAATATTTACACCATGGTCGCTTTCGCAGTTCTAGCGGTGCTCATTCTATTGTCCCCTATTATTCCCAAACTAATACCCTGTGCGGGATTTGAACCCGCAACCTTTGGGTTGTAATCCCAATGCTCTACCCGTGTGAGCTATACTCTTACTTGATAAATAAGGAATAATTAGTGCTACCGTATCCGATTATTTTTAAGGGAAATAG